GGAGGCCCAGTGTTGGAAGCAAACTTCGTCTTTCTCTTTGAAGTGGGTTCCTCTTTGAAATGGATGCTCAATCATCAAAGCCTACATCAGGCACTTGGATTACAAAAAGATAAAAAACAAAAACCTGTTAACGTTTTCACTACTGGGCTGTACCATTTTGCATTCCCATCAGCAAGGAATGAGAGTTCCTGTTGCTTCACATGCCCTGTAATATTCGATACTGTCGGGGCTCTGGACCCTGGCTATTCTAAGTGTGTAGTGATATTTCATTGTTGTTTTAATTTGCAGTTCTCTGATGACATGATGTGCAACATCTTTTCTTACACTCATTTGTCACCCGTATATCTTCTTTGGTGAAGTACCTGTTCAGTCCTTTTACCCATTTTTAAATTGGGTTGCTCATTTTCTTATTGTTGAGTTTTAAGAGTTCTTTGTATATTTGGGATAACAGTTCTTCATCAGATGTACCCCCTCCCCCCAAGTCTGGCTTGTCTTTCACAGATCATAAGTTTTTAATTTTAGTGAAGCCTAGTGTATCATTGATTTGTCTAATGTATTGTGCTTTTAGTATCATATCTAAAAAGTCATCATGAAACTCAGGGTCACCTAGATTTTCTCCTATGCTATCTTCTGGGAAGGTTATAGTTTAGCATTTCACATTAAGGTTTATGATCCATCTTGAGTTAATTTTTTGTGAAAGGCACAGTGAGTTTTTTAATGTATTTTTTATTTATGTTTATTTATACTTGAGAGGCAGAGAGGGACAGAGTGCAAGCAGGGGAGGGACAGAGAGACAGGGAGGCAGAATCTGAAGCAGGCTCCAGGCTCAGAGATTGAGGTGGTTTTTTTAAGGTTTTTAATGTTTTTTAATTTTTGAGAGAGAGAGACAGCATGAGCAGGGGAGGGAGGGACACAGAGAGAGAGAGAGGGAGACACAGAATCTGAAGCAGGTTCCAGGCTCTGAGCTGTCAGCACAGAGCCCAATGCAAGGCTTGAACTCACAAACCCTAAGATCATGACCTGAGCTGAAGTCGGACGCCCAACTGACTGAACCACCCAGATGTCCCACAAGACTGAGTTTTTAAAAATATAAACTTATCAAGTCACTTCCCTTATGACTGCCCCTTATGTTTAGACTTAAGTCAAAGTCCTTACCATGGGCTACAATTTCTACCTGACCTGACCACTTTCCAGAGCTCCAAGCCATCATGGCACATTTCCCTCCCCTCTGCTGCAGGAGACTTCCTTCTGTCTGTTGACTCAGAATTTGTTCACAGGCTACACTGAATCAGGATTACATCTTCCAGAATCTGTGTCCAGCAAATAAGATTGAGTAGTGATCAGATGAGTAAATATTATAAAGGAGGGTGAATGAAAGGAATTCCAGAGTAGTTAGTTACCTTAAACAACTTCTTTGTGTGTAGCATTTAGGAAGCCCTGTTGACTCAAGAATAGAAATAAAAGCTTCAACTGAATGCTTAAAAAAATATCCTGAGATTGATCACCTTAAAATCTGTAATCACTTTGAGGATAATGAGGGAATCACTTTCATTGAGGTACAATACATTGCAAATTGAACTTTGGAAACTTGTACTGTGTTATAAAAAGGCAAATATTTTTCACTAACTGCAGTTGAACCAATAATTATTTAAAATATTTCAACATTCAAAACCTTGGTTTTCCCAGAATCATGGCTTTTTTTCATTTTGTTTTGTTTTTTAGTTTCCAGGAATATGGATATTATCAGTTCTGTTTGCCACCTCATCCTTAAATCTCCATTCATTTGTCATTTAGGACATTATTTTCATCGATTTCACTTCAGCTGCTGAGACTGAATTAAAGAGAGTGGTTCTCCATTACTATCTTTTTGTGCTGCTCTTCACTGAAGAGTCCTTCAGTTTCCCAAGTCATCCTGCGCACAGTGTGCCTACCGCTACAATAATGGCATTTTGCCATGACAGGAACTGAATGGTATTAAAATTTTATGAATAAAGAAACCAAAATTTCATCTGTTTTGCAATTCATTATGACACTTGCATGAACACGATGGCAGTAATATTTCTCAATAATATGATCGTTTGCTCCTTGAGGAACGGATTCCAAGGAATTCAATTGTACTTTGTAATAAAAAATGCTACAGTAATGTCACAACAGGGCTTGATTCTTTTGCAAATAAATTCACCTTTGAGTCACTAGAAATAATTTATGATCCTTTTCTAGGTCAGTGTAAATATTGTGTCACTATTCCTTATATTGAACAATACTATGAACTTAATATTATATATGGCCAGTGGTGCATATCTGAACATTTTTATTGAGTGCTTACTTGGTAACGGTAACATTATTTGTATCTTATTGAGAAGCTATGTTTAGTAGTGCAGAGAACCAAGTTAGGCATAACATTTCATGTGGATGTGGTGCCAGCTAGTGGTACATGTTATATATGCCTTAAAAAATGACTCCCTTTTTAAAGGAACCAAACACGAGCACCTGGGCGGCTCCGTCATTTGAGCATCTGATACCTGATTTTGGCTCAGGTCATGATTCCAAAGTCATGGGATTGAGCCCCACATCGGGCGCCATTTTGGGATTCTCTCTGTCTCTCCCTCTGGCCCTCTCCCCCACTCGCACTCTCTGTCTCTCTCTAAAATTGAAAAAAAAGTTAAAATAACCGAAGACAATATGATCTTATTGGGATCAAATTTGCTCAAGCACTCTGTGTGTGTGTATATACATATATACATATATATGTACATATACATATATACACACATATATACATATATGTATACACATATATATACACACATATAATATAGATATCAAATAGTTATCTATATAGAGATATAGATATAGTATAGATATCTCTATATATAGAGATATCTATGTCATATAGATATCTAGAGATATCTATATAGATATGGATATATAGATATATCATCCATTGGTGAGAGCCAAGAGGATGTACGTAACAATAGACATATGAAATGTTCTGTTGCATAATGCCTTGGGCAAACTTCTCTCCAGTCCTGCGCTCCCACATTGTGATGATTCACATATTTGTTGTGCTTACTATATTAGAAAATCATTCCTTTGTCTTTATATGCCACCATTTATCACAGGATCTGGCAATTCGATGTAGAAATAAATATTTCTTATATACATAATCAATTATCTCTTTCTCCGGGTCATGGAAGGGCTTGCCTTCCCTTTCCTCTATATCATATTCTTACTATTCCCACCCTTCACATACAGAAGAAGATCTCTGTGATCTGTCTAGCCATGCTTGGCTCTTGATGAATCACTTAGAGCATAAAGCATTCAATGCCTTGCCTTCCTAATGGACTGAGCCTCGTGGGTGGAAGGCTGCAAGGAAATGGAAATCAAATAGGAAATAAAAACACTTTAATATTTTCAAAACATTATCTTTGTTATATCTAGATCAGTGGTTGTGAATTCTGGCTGCATGTCAGATTCACTGAGGCCTCTTGAAAAATATTCCTGCCACTGCTAGCCACAGAAAAATTAAATCAATATCAGATATTGATCCGTATGCTGAGGTAGCTAAGGTGAGTTACTCTGTGTCAGTTAGTAACTACATCCACCCAGGGGTGGCTTTTCCTCCTTTCTCTCAAGCAGACTGTGGCGCTAAGCCATCTCTTTCTATATGTGTACGCCAACCAAATTTGTGACCTATTTATTTTTAGTGCAGTGTGTGTGTATGCACGTGCATGTGTGTGTCTGTGGTATGTTTATTTCACATGCAACCTAGGTAGAAAACAAATCAAGAAAAGACTTTCCTTACTTTTTTTATGCCTTACACTATTATGGTGGAGTTGTATCCCAATGGCTGTGCTATCAGGAGAGGGGTCTTTAAGGAAAATGCTGCGTACATGTCCCCATTAAACGGAAAGTGAACCCCCTTGCATGCCAGTGAGCCTGGAGAACAGCTGATTTCTGGAATCACACCAGTGCTGCCTTTTTTCTCCACCCCCCCTCCTGCAACATCCCAGCTGCGCAAAAGTCTTTTTCCACATTCATAGTTTCTCTAGAATCACTTTAAAGTACATCTCATGTTTTAATGATCTTGCATTCTAGTACCAGAGATCCCTATATCTGGTACCAAACCTTGAAAGTTAGGGAAACACAATCCACAAAAATGCTTCCTTCCAATCACTTCTAAATACTAAGTGGTATCAAAGGACCTGTCCAGATATAAGGTCCCCTGTGTTCTTGAATCTCCTTTCTCCTCTTTGTCCTGATTCATCATCTTCCTCCCACCACCTCTGCCTTCCCTCTCCCTCCTCCCCTTCCTTTTCTCCCCCTCCTTTCTCCTCAGCCCCATTCTCTTTCTCTTTCCTTACTCTCTCCCTCAACCCCTCTTCTCCTCCAAGTACGAAAGAGGGTTTCCAGTTCTCTGTTTCTGTGCAACAGAACGATTAGTCCAGCAAAACAATGCTGCTGAGATCGTCAGAGAGCCAGTACCAGCTGCCCACACTGCCATTCTGTGCATGGAAAACAAATATTCCTAGTCCCCTGATTTCATGAAGCAGTGTAAAAAAAAATGTGGGATTTGAGCTGGGTCAACTGATTGTAGTTTTCCAACTTGGGAAGCAAGCAGTCATTTGCTAACAGTGTCACCTCACATAGAAGAGGACTCAGAGCCGGGCTGCCAGCTGCTTAGTCTCTGGACAGCCTTGCTCTGAGTCGCTGGATTCACCACTACTAATGTCAACACCCACTTTCAAAGGCAGAGCCCATGCCTTTCTTGTCCCTGTTTCTCTGGAATTGAGTCAAGAATGGTATCTGAAGTCCTCTATGTGCAAGGAGTGAGAGTGTAATGTACTTGTTACTGGCTGTGCTGAAGAGTGGCTGTGGCCATTTGGAAGGAGCGTCCAGGGACCTGGGTCATCACAGCTTTTGTTCAGGTTGTCAAAATGCATGGATCAAAAACCTCACCCCCAAAGATTTCTTTGTCTCTCTGTTTTTTCTATTTCTAGCCTGGATGTGTAAATACCACTGAAGTGGACATAAAGAAGTCATCCAGAATGAGAAACCCACATAAAACACGGAAGGTAAAAATCCACCTTTGCTGTGTTGATCTCGGTAATAGGTTGCACTGTTTGGAGCGTGCCAGTCATTACAAAACAAAACAAAACAAAACAAAACAAAACAAAACAAAACAACTTTCTCCCACTTCCTGGAATATCTTCTAGCATCTTCCCTGCTCTTCCTTCTTCCTTGGCTAAAAGACAATCTGGGAGCTCAGGCCCTGGTCTTCTGTCAGCCCATCTCCCCTGAACATCGCGGTTCTCCAGCGTATGCAGGGCCCAGGCAGGGCTTGCAAGTGGCTGTGATGAGGGACAGAGATGCTGAAGACACTTCCTTTCTCCATCGGAAACAAGGGTCATCAAAGAGAGAGGCTTCTCTTTCAGAACCCGGGGGATGAGAAACACAGACGCAGATTATGTTCAAAAAGGTGATATCGATGAGAGAGGAGCATTTTTAGAGAAAATTCTGAGGGAAACGGGACATGATAAAGATGTAGGACCACAGAGTTGGTGTGAGGGCCCCCTTTTAACACCAGAAGTTTGTGACACAACCATAAGATAGTGGTTGTATGTTCGTTCGTTGGGTATCTGTTACATGAGAGAATACATAACAAACTACCCAAAAAACCTATCTGGAATTCAGTGACGTTGTAAATAATTTCTTGAAAATACATAACATAACATAACAATCGTAGCTACATATTTTTTTAAAGTAGCACATACACATTGAAGGCGTTTTTATTCATTCCTTGAAGAACACTTGATGCATATCAGAATTTCTGGCCTGAGGATGCAGCCCACGATGGGCACCACTGAATTAAAGTTCCAGACCTTCCCTTTTATGGCTGTTTCCTTATGTAGCATTAGGGTTTTCCAGGCTGTCCCTGCAGTAGGCATGAAGCAGTTTTTCTTTGTAGTCTTATTTCTTGTCGTCTCTTAGAAATGCGTTCAGAGGCCCCACTAGGATCCCAGTACTTTTTTTCTTTTAAGGCAGTTTACCTTGATGTCAGGATAAAGAAACCAAGAGAAAGTGCCACAAAACCCGCTCAGAGGCAGTGCTCCAAAGCTGTTGGCCCAGGAGCCCTCCGAGAGAAAGAGGCAAAGCCAGACCAAAGCGGGCTCGCTGGCCCTGCTCTCCTGGGACTGGTCTCATGCAGTTCCTCCCACCCTGTGTGCATGGTGCAACCTGGGTGCATGGAGACTGGCTTTGTGCTGCAGAATAGCATTCAGAGCTGCGATCAGCTCTCCAAAAGCACATTTAGCCACCTATCACTGCTTCTGAATCTGGAAGAATTACTTTTCAGAATACCTTACTTTGTGTCAAGTTTTCCCAAAAGACACCGACTGAGATATGCGGTCACTCAGAAGAGAAGGCACAGGGACAGGCAGATAGGGCTTAAATGTAAGGCAGCCACCTTAGCACTGCCCGGGATTGCTGTCTTAGCTGTGTCTCACATGGCGTCGTGCTTGGAATGCTTGAAAAGCATCAATTGGCAACGCTGTGCTTCACTTAACAGTGGGAAACGCCAGGCCTGGCAAGGTGAAACACTGTAAGAGATGGAATTACTGAGCCCTGTCTGTCTTGGCTGTGGTCTAGTTTCCTGTGTATCAATAATGGTAGAACCATAGGGCCCCATGCAGAGCTCCCTAACTCTGAAATTGCCAGAGAAAAAAGAAAGTTTTCACCCTTGTTTTCAACAATTGGAGAATACTGATTTTTTTGTCACCTTTTCATATATGTAGATTCTCATATCCAGACATGCAGAATTTGCTAGAATCTTCACATGTATAATTTTACACAGAAGGTTACAGGACTCTAAGCCACATACTGGTTTGTTTTTGTAGAATTATGACCACTGCTGCTTTATCTCGTATTTAGTAACTGGCATGACCCATTCAATCAATAGATTTAACAGGTCTCTACTTTATGGTGGGCATGCACTGGTTTTTAGACATCGGATCGTAAATGGGACACACCTGACCTTGGTCCCATGGCTCGTTATCCAATGGAGCAGGCAGACAAATATCTATACATATATAACCACGTAATTGTGTTAGTCTGCTTGAGCTACCATAACAAAATGCTGCAAACTGGGTGGCTTACATAATGGGAATTATTTACTCAAAGTTCTGGAGACTAGAAGTCTCAGATCAAGTTGGATTTTGGTGAGAGCTCTCTTCCTGGCTTCTAGAGAGCTGCCTTCTTACTCTGTCCTCACATGGCAGAGAGAGCGATGGTATCTGTCCATCTTATAAGGGCACCAGCTCCATGGGCTTAGGGTCTTACCCTGTGACCTCCCTTAAGTTTGATTACCTCCTTATAGACTCCATCACCACACAGAGTGACATTGAAGGTTAGGGCACCAACATGAATTACAAAGGGACACAGGCCAGTCCATAACATAGTATCAACAGAATTGAAATGATTTGGGATTCTCAGTTGCCACACCATTTTATTTAAAAACAAAAACAAACAGGAAAAAAACACGGCAAGCAACAAACGGCCCACCGTTCTCTGAAGTGTTCACAGTTATGTCCTCGGGGAGCAGACAAGTCTGTGGGATTGCAAGCCCTACACATAAATGGCAGAGGCCGCCTACCACTTCTGGAAACTGCCTTTGCCCGCCTCAGCTAATCGGGCTGTGTCCTTTGCTCATTCTCTGAGCTGTGTGGCCACCCTCTGTCTTAAACCTCTGCCGGTAAGAAAGTGGAAGCCCTGAACTGTATGTCATCTTTGCAAGCAGAGAGAGCCGCTGTTCATTTCTTTGGCATTCAGCTGCAATGATATAAGTCTCATGATTATATAAGAAGAATAAGGGACCCAGTAAATCCCAAAAGCAGTAATCCATCATATGTACCTAAAACAACATGGAGTTTGGAATGTTATATTTAATTGTTGAATTTCAAATATGTATATCAAATATGTGAAGAGAAGGCTTAGATGTATATCTGATTTGAGATATGTGTAAGTATTTAGGCAGGTTTTAAATCTGTCTTTACTAAAACACAAAGAAGTGGGAGGAACTGTGTTTCTGTAAGTCTCTATGAATGATAAGATAGCATCGCCAGGAAGAAATCAGCCTAATCTAGGCAAGTTTTAAGGGGCACTGTGTGCCTGGCTTTCTTTAACCTGCTTCTAAAATTTTAATTATAATAGGTCAGACTGTGAATTAATCAGGGTTCCCCCAAAGGGGGCAGGAGAGAGAGACAGAGAAAGATTTATTTTAAGAAATTGATGCACCCAGTTGTAGAGGCTTGGCAAGCGCCAAATCAGATGAGGTAGGCCAGTGGCTAGCGTCCCGGGGAAGAATTGCCGTCTGCTGGCAGAATTCCCTCTTGTTTGAAGGAGGTCTATCTTTTTTTTTTTCAGGCCTTCAGCTGATTGGATGAGGCCCGCCCACATTATGGACAGCAATAGGCTTTATTCAAAGTCTGTTGATTTAAATTTTAATCTCACTCAAAATATATCTTCAAAGAAGCAACTAGAATAATGTTTGAATAAATATCCCAGCCAACTTGACACAAAAATTAACCATCACAGGGTGGATTATTTCTATGACAATAGCAAGTGGGGGCCTAGAATAACACAAAATCTGAGGGAAATCAAAACAACACTTGTGCATACATGACTGAACCCACACTTTGGATCGCTTCCTATAACTCCAGAACCCATATTTCAAAACAACAGTAAGCTGTGTCTTGTCTCATCGCTTTTCTTTTTTCTATCACCTTCATTTAAGCATTGAGGCACTTCATATTTTAGTTAATAGCTAATGTGCACATTCCGGAAGAACGGTTAGCAAATTCACAATTAAATGTCTAGCTTTTCTGCTTTTAATGCAGTGGCTATAGCTGTTTATACATAAAAAGCCTGACACTTCCTTATGTCTGTATGCACAATGTGGCATTTTAATCTTAATAGAAAAAACTACTCATGCCTTAGAGTGACACAAAAGGGTTTTAAGTAAGAAATACAATAAACTTGCAGGCAATAGATACTCTGCTCAAAATGGCTAAAAGCAGGGAATATTCTAAAGCCTAGGGAATCGGCAGGGGCAGATTTAGCCCTGGGGGTGATGGACCCAGGGACTCATCAAGTTTCTCTCTAACCCTGCCCTCCTTTCTCTGCCCTCTCTCTGCCAGGGCTTCCTCCACATGACAGCAGATGTGGTCACAATCCATTCTCTAGTTGACCTGAGAAATCCAGAAGAAAGAGAAATATCCCCTCCTTCTAACCAGTTAGAAAAATCCCAGAGATTTCACTCAGCAGAGACAAGCATAGAAGCTTCCTGCACTCTTAAGTTACTGTTGTAAAAGAAAGTTCCTGGGGCTCCTGGGTGGCTCAGTCGGTTAAGCCTCTGACTTCAGCTCATGTCATGATCTCATGGTTTGTGGGTTCGAGCCCCGCATCAGGCTCTGTCTAACGGCTCAGAGCCTGGAGCCTGCTTCAGATCCTGTGTCTCCCTCTCTCTCTGACCCTCCCCTGCTCACACTCTCTCTCTCTGTCTCAGAAATAAATAAAAATAAATAAATAAAAGTTTCTGTTTTAAACATAGAGAATTTTCTTAGACCTCTTTCTTCTAAGACATGAGGGGAAATCACATATGAACAGATTTATATAGAAAGTCAGATCTGTTTCATTTTATGAATAACCTACCCAGTGTTCATTTGGATGGTACCCTATATGAAAAGAAAGCTAGTCCAGGAACCTGTGTTTGAATAAATGGACGTGTTCATCAAGTCAAAGCATCTTGATTGGTAACTAGCTTTGCTAACAACTCAGAATGGATCCCAGTTAGTTAATTTTCATTTCCCCCAGCTGCAGATATTAAGACATTCAGACAGCTTCATGTCCCTTTCTCCCCATTACTACTTGTTGCTACCTCTACTTCACCCACCCTAGGCCAATATTTTAATGTATTAACTTTTTCTAAAACATATTCAAAGCCTTTTACATTTCAGAGGATCCCCATAACGTGTCTGCCAAATTCAGATCAATTTCCTTACCTCCTTTGTTCATAAAATAAGCCTTCTACATAAAACTTCATTATTCATGGTCATTTTCACTGTAGCCAAGAATCAAAGTTAAAAGCTATCACTGGTCCCCAGGAAACGAAAGGCACTCTGACTGATGAAAGACAGGACTCCTGATGCTTACTTGCATGAAAGACAAAGAATATAAAGTCCACAGTAAGCTCAGAGCTGGTGGCGAGGCTGCTAGAAGACAGCTTTAAACTTCACCTTCCAGTGATGTCGTTCTTACACGGACCTTCATGAACCTATGTATTGTGCAGACATACTAAAGTAATCATACAAATATAGAGATAGAAGATAATATATACATCCTTTTACTTCCGTGACACTATAAAATGTAGTATTTTTTCCAGCAGTGTGTTAAATTATGTTTAATCTTAACCCAAAAACTTGCTGTTAAAACAGCCAACTATCTTCTCATAAGCATTTTTACACACACTATAGATTCTTATTAAGTACTTTAATTAAAGTAAGGTAAACAAGAATGAAATGTTTAAACCTTAGGGTCTTTTTATTTTCTTTATAAAAATTAATGTAACACACCTGAAAAATAATAGACATTTTGGACAATGTTTCCATTTATTTTCTACAATTATTGAATAATTGCTGGTGTTTTACTTACCCAATTTTAAAAAATCAACTTCAACTGTCACTTCAGAGTTCAAAGCTCAAATATGAGTATTAGTAGTTCACATAGGCCTTTTCTGTTTCTTCAGTGAAAATCAAGTCTCCTTGTACTCAGGCCCTATGCTCTTCTTATTGTTTTCCTTCACAGTACTTACCACAGTTTTAATCCTATGTTTATTTGTGTAACATGTTTCCCCTCCACTAGGTTGTTAAGTTCCAATGGAAGAGGAAGCATATCTATCTTTGTTTATTTCTACATCCCTCCAGCTCAAGATTACCTCCAGCATACATTAGGTGTTTGATAAATGTTGACTGAATGAATGGAAGAACAGAGAAAAATTAAGCCAGACAGTTCATTCCTGTTAATATTTAATTCAAAACCTATGTGAAGACAACCCATACTCATTTTGGGTTGAAACAGATGCCCAGTGATAGAAATTAAGTTCCAAGAGGTGAGGCTAAGTCAAGAGAGGGCAGATTGAAAGATTTACCAAAGGCAGTCCAAACTGGATCATTCAGGTAGGTTAAATCCAAGTGAATATCTATTGAAGAAAGGCTAAGAGCAAGGTAAGGAGGAGTTAGAAGGGAAAAACCAAGTCCAAAGGTCCATGTATAGAGCCAACAGATTAACATTAAGAACAGATAGAGTCTGAGTGAAAACAGGAACAAAACACAATAGAATTTAGAGATACTAGTATGGTTGGTGATGGGCCTGAAAATTGGCTCTGTTAAACATCTGGATCTACCCTCTTCTGATTTCAAGAGTTTCTTCCAAACCTATCTGGTAACTCAATTTTGTGGGGTTTGCACATTTTTATTTTGTCCTTATCTTTCATACTCTTGTCCAAAGAAAAAGGGCTCAGTAGCTTCTAATAAATCCTTTATTTTAAAATCATAATTCTTTGGGGCACGTGGGTGGCTCAGTTGGTTATGCGTCCAACTTCGGCTTAGGTCATTATCTCATGGTTTGTGGGTTCGAGCCCCGCGTTGGGCTCTGTGCTGACAGCTCAGAGCCTGGAGCCTGCTCCCAATTCTGTGTCTCCCTCTCTCTCTCTGCCCCTCTCCCACTCACATTCTGTATCTCTCTCTTTCAAAAATAAATAAACATTAACATTAAAATAAAAACATAATTCTTTGATATGAAAGAAAAAGTTATTTGGCTTCTCTCTTGATTTGATATGTGAAATGCTTTATCCTCAGTTGAAGAATTTTTGTATGTCTGTACGACTCCAGGCATTTATTTGTATGTACTAAGCAGTGAGTCTTTCTCAAAAAAGAGTATTCCTAAGCAGTAGGTTTGACCTTTTGACAAAATACTAAAGAAGCACCGGGGCATCAAGGATTCCAAAGAGAGGTGAAAACTTTGCAGTCTCTGATGATTGCAAAAGGCACCAACGGCACCGAATGGCAAGGCCAGTGTGGTGAGATAAATAACCCAATGCTGAGAGAGGAAACTTGGAGCACTCTGGGGTGTCTTTGATCACACTAACAGAGACCAAATCGACAATGGAATTGTTAACATGGTCTCTCTCCTCAATATTCCATTGGGTAAAACTCAGATTCTTTTCATTTTCTTTTGGTTTATAAACTTTTTATTCTATTCTATATCCACCCTTATTTTGTTTTGAAATCAATATTTGTTAAATGCTGTATAGTGTTATTCCCCAACTTAGTACTCTCAGTCCACCGCCACATTTTATTATCAGACTTACCATATTCTCTCTATATAATCAATTATTCTGTCACAGTTAATAATCTAACCACATATTTTTTCAAAGGGCTGTGCTTCTATTTTATATTCATAAGATATTTATGATAGCAGTGTCTTTGAATTTTAATGAGAAGCTTAATCAAATATGTAACAAAGCTTGGAGATACTTTACTGAATATATAACACAAAATTACCTTTTGGAAAGTCTGGGACTATAAATATATTTTGTCCTAACATATTTCTTTTTTACTTTAATATAGTCTGTCTATGGTTTACAAAATGACATTAGAAGTCACAGTCCTACCCACACACCCACACCAGAAACTAAACCTGCAACAGAAGATGAATTGCAACAACAGGTGGGTCTACCTATAAAATAATCTGTGAAGGGCTTACAGAGTTGTAGTTATGAAGACTACATGGTGAATCTTAATGACAAGGGTCATAAAAGCTTATTTGAAGGATTTACTGTTTCACAGAGAAGATTTGCAGTTAAAAGTTAGTGAAATCACTTAATTTTAAGACAGGTAGTCTCTTGAAAACATATCAATATATAGAAAGGATTTTCAGATCTCTTCACACTTTACTTCCCCCAAACCCACTTCCTCTAACCAATTTTTTAAAATGATGTGCACTGATGGTTAGACATCTCCATTTCAAGAGTTATTTTGTACTCCGGAGCTCTTCTTGAAGAATGAGAAGAATAGAAGCTGGTGAGGTTGAGTCACGTGTTTTCATATCCAATCATGTGATGTGATCTTCACAGAGAGCTTTTTCTTGTTTCTCCAGCACTGCTCTCCATAAGCCTCTGAAGTTTTCCCTCATTAACACTGGTGTATGCTCATGGCCTAGGTCACTTCTTGTTTCACAAATTGATCCATAGTTTGGGCTCCAAGTAATACTCCAGAGTCAAACGCCAGAGTCTCTTATATCAAATAATAGTGAAATCTCTTGATTCGGTTCAAAAGAATGTTTTTATTCTTTTCCCTAATATTTTATTGTGATGTGGGTTAGCAATAGTGTAATGATACGTTTTCTAGTATATTTTAAATCACCATGAACGGAAAGTAATTTAGAGAGTTTTGAAGTTCTCCACGTGTGGTTATGTCCACATGAGTGTCGTGAAATGTTGGTAAACTTATTCCACAAACACCTATCTGATGCTTTCTTGGGCTAGTATTAGGAAGTAAGGTTTACTTTCAAATTATAGTACAAATGACAAATATGTTTGTTTTCTGAACTTAATATTGCAGGTGATTCTGATTTGGTTATTCACTCTGAATAAATGTTTAAAATCTCTATAAATGCTTTTAAAATAAAGTTACAGTTTGTTAAAGTATGCAGAATGTGCAAATTCATTACTGTTCTATAGGGATATTGGCTATGTTTACATTCAAACACTAATTTTCAGAGCCATCTCATTTGATATGTTACTGACTTGTAACATATTCTTATTTAGAATTGCCCAGTCTATCAGAATTTAGAGTTGAAAATTATGAGAATGCCACTACTTACATAACTACTTCTTTAACTCTTTTCAGATTAAATATTGGCAAATACAGTTAGATAGACATCGGTTAAAAATGTCAAAAGTTGCTGATAGGTAAGTATTTCGAGATGCCCATATAAATAAAAGAATTTCATGCAACAGTTAACTGTGTTGAAAATAGAATCCTGTAAGAAATTTTATTTTACCTTTTGTACATAGAAAACTTTCCAAGATGGGGCACCTGGGTGGCTCAGTGGGTTAAGTGTCCAACTTCAGCTCAGGTCATGATCTCACAGTTTGTGGATTTGATCATCATGTTGGGCTCTGTGCTGACAGCTCAGAGCCTAGAGCCTGCTTCGGATTCTGTTTCTCCTTCTCTCTCTCTGCCCCTCCCCTGTTTGTGTCCTATCTCTCCCTGTCTCTTAAAAACAATAAATGTTGAATGAAAGAAAGAAAGAAAGAAAGAAAGAAAGAAAGAAAGAAAGAAAGAAAGAAAGAAAGAAAGAGAGAGAGAAAAAAGAAAGAAGAAAAGAAAAGGAAAGGAAAGAAAAAAGAAAAGAAAAGAAAAAAAAAACTTCCAGGGAACACGTTTATTCTAGTTTAAATGACAGAATGATCATTACTGTCCTTAGGCCCTAAAGACTCAGTCCTGCACAACCAGAATCGGATATAGATATAGAAGACATTTCTGAGGAGTTGAATTTTTCACTCCTGCGGAGAGAAATGAACCTTTCAATTTATCAAGTTACTTTTTGGCAACTTAGAGCCTCTCTGTAAATTCATCTTAACATTCACACTTTTCAGTTATTGCATGACTTCAGAATTTGAATTAAACACAGATTTTCGATATTTTCCTTTTCTTCATTTAAATCTGTTATTAATGGCACACACACTCTTCGCTTTGGAGCATTGCCAAATCCTATCTCCCCTCAACTTCTTTCCTCTCCTTTCCTCTCTTTTTCTTTTTTTTAAAATACAGATTTTTAAAAAAATGTTAGTGATTCCCACTTTACCTAACTCCTATAAATACTTTCAATAAAAATTTCCTTTTAACCCGTTCTCCAAGTTTGCAAAAAGTTCAGCTGTGGGTGGACCAGTTGGCCAAGGATTGGAACTGACCCTTAGCACTGTTCTTCACACACTGACGCCTTCCATTTTGCTTCATTTTAACGGAGGATGTTGTCTCACTTGGCTTGAGCATGGGCACACATGGACTCCTTAGCTACATTTGTCTTCCAAGATGCACAATAAATTGATGCATAAAAGTTACTGACATGTAAAAACTTCCCTTGGATTTTACTCTGTAAGCAAGCAATTCCTTGCCCAGACCTTTTTATATTGTATCCTTTATTTGGGGCCGGGTAAAACCTCAGCCAAAAAACTAAGGAAGATGAAAATGTTTTTTTTTTTTTCTTTCTAGCCTGTTAAGTTACACGGAACAATATTTAGAATATGACCCATTCCTTGTGCCACCTGACCCTTCTAACCCGTGGCTGTCTGACGATACTACTTTCTGGGAACTTGAAGCAAGGTATATGATGTGTTCTCTTCTCTCCAGTTATTTCACTAATTTCGAGTAAAATAGGAAGAATTATATAGCTTTTAATTGTAAGGCCTGTTTTACTCTGTGTCTCTATTAGCCCGTGATATAAAGTTCTTGTTCAAGGTAATGGTTTTTAAACCTTAGATACTTGCATTTGTGTCCAGATGTGCATTGCCCGAGGACAGGCACAAAATTAGAGGTACAAGAGTTTCAGGATGGACTATTCAGAGTTGGGCTCTTCAGTTCTTGAAATTTGGTTCATGGTTTTTAGCTTCTTTGAAAATCCACATAGCCACACAGGCCCCTGTATTCAAGCAAAATGAATGTTAAATCCATACTTATTTAAGCACATTACAGGTATGGCTTTAAAAATTCAATTTTAAAACAAAATAAACTTGTCATAAACACTCCAAGAGAATGTGACAAGAGACTGGCCTCTTAAGAAAACCAAAGCATGATTTAAGACTCGCTGGTTTCCTTCATGACCTCTGTAAGGGAAGGCGTATATCCTCCATCTTGACAGAGTCATGAATAGGACAGTGCCTATCACTATACAGAGTGTGGATTTCCTCCTCTGTATCACTCTTCTAGACTCTGTTTAATGACTTTCTTTTGCCTCCAGCCAGTGTTCTTAAGTGCTTGACAAGTGCAAACTTTCCATCCGTAAGTTCTAGATTTTATAGATGAGTAATTGGGGCCCCAGAATGTTGTGATTCAGCCAGGATTAGGTCACACATTTCATTAACAAGATTCATAACTAGAATGTAGGCATTTTGGTTCCCAGTGCATTTTCCCCCAGTACAACATACCACCACGAGGCTGCACACTAGAAATTGTGATTTGGGGTGAGAACATCTAGAATATGGCCCCCTATTACCTTTCATACATTGGCCAGTTATAACCCTCTTTGTGACTTGATGTCCTCATTTTTAAATTCAGAATTAGAATAGTACCTGGCTCAAAAGTTGCAGAAAGCAATCTAAAAGAATCCATCTACAGCACTTAGTACCTCATGCTTAATAAAGATTAGACTCTGTTGTTCATGCCTAATGTATACTTCACTGTGATTTCATGCACATCCATCAAGCACAGATTTTTTTTCCTGAAAGATATGTTAAAGATGGGAACTTCAAGGTATATATGATTTTGAGGGGAGATGTAGTAGCAGAAGATAGAACTGGTAATGAAAGGAGTATATTTGTCCTCATTTTTATCTCCTATAGCAAAGAACCAAGTCAGCAGAGGGTAAAACGATGGGGCTTTGGCATGGATGAAGCATTGAAAGACCCAGTTGGGAGAGAACAGTTCCTTAAATTCCTAGAGTCAGAATTCAGCTCAGAAAATTTAAGGTAAGACACATTGTTTGTATCTTATTCTACGTCAGAGAGACTTGCTGTGATATGTGTGGTTGTTGTGCACTAAATAGATCAGTTACCCTCCTACCAACATGATGATGATATGAACCCACGGAATTTCTGCCTCTCAATGGAGGAAGAAAAGATAACAAAGGCAAAGCCTGTCCAGCATTATTAGTTCCTTATAATGGTTTGTTTTTACATTATCTCTTCATCTATTAAGTATATAAATGCGATGCTTTTGAAATGGACTCCATAAAGAAGTATATCTGAACTACTGTTTAGCAAAGTAAAGAATGGGCAATAGTATTTATGCAGTTAAATTATCATTATTTATCAGTATTGGTCTTCTTAAAGTAAGGTCTGGGGGCCTATTAAAAATAGCTTGAAATAACACTATGCGGCAGCTCATGCTCTTGTTACATTTAAATATAGCTTCAGGACAGTTGAGGGCCGTGCCACACTGAGCTGTTAGTAGGCGAGGGGTGTGCATTCCACCCATCTGTTGTAAGCATCATCCTTACATATTTTTGAAATTTTCCTAACTTAAGAGGCACCTGGAAATTAAAGTTTTAAATGTGAGACACTGCAATAGATTTTAATGGCTCTGTTTAAGACCGCTGAAGTGAGTGATAACTTTCCACTACAGAAAAATCTTTTTCCATGAGCTCTTTCATTCATTATTCTTTGGAAACATGATACCCTAATTTACTTTCCCATGACTTAATGCAGTCCTGTGGAATCCATTTATGGAAAAGTCTCAGCATTCATTTATTTTCATTGGAACACTGCAGCCCCAGGCATTGTCACATTCTTTACAGATGATTTAACAGATACCAATACCAAACCATTCAGAAGCATGTAGAACTTTGACAGATGTCCTGTGGTTTAAGCAAGATGACCACAGATGGAACCTGGAATAATTTTATTATATATGCGTGCCTGTCATGAACCATTGGGATGCAGCCTCCTATTCCTTCAAGTGTGTGGGAACCCATCTTGACAAGGCTTTTAGAAGATCTACATTGCTAAATATTTTTTTTGTATCAAGGTCATCTCATCAGTTATTGAGTATAAGAATGCATAAAGCGTATAGCAGAGATAAAGGATATTTTTAGCCTCTTAGCAGATGGGAAGATGGAATTTCCTCTAATTCTCTAAGTTTTTAAATAAATGCCGACATCATAGGTATCACGATGAAAAAATAAGCAAGAAATGGGGCACCTGGGTGGCTTAGCAGGTTAAGTGTCCAACTCTTGGTTTCAGCTCAGGTCATGATCTATGGTTTGTGAGATCAAGCCCTGCATTGGGCTTCGTGCTCATAGTGCGGAGCCTGCTTGAAATTCTCTCTCCCTCTCTCTCTGCTCTCCTCCCCACTCATGCCCCTCTTCTCTCTATCAAAATAAATAAAAATAAACTTAAGAAATAAACAAGTAATGAGCCTCACCAGTATCACTAACCAAATAAAAATGGTTCCTGATCTCATTTAAACTACAGCCTAGTAGTGGATACAGAGAAAAATGCAGATCAGAACACAAAATCATGGTTATTTAGCTCTGAGAAGTGCAGAGGGATAACTAACCTAGAGTTGGAGGTCAGCAAAGGCACCCAGGGGAAATGGCTTTAGGCTGTGACTTGGATGTCAGGAGATAACCAGACAAAATGTAAGAGAAAGGAAGCTCTGGGCAAAGGAAATAGTGCCAAGTATGTTTGTTTCATGAATGAATTGAATCACTGCTGATTCCTCAGTTCAAGCCTTAACCGTTTCTCATCTCAATAATTCAATGCTATGCTAGTTTTCTTTCATTTTTTTAATGTTTACTTATTTTTGAGAGAGAGAGAGGCAGAGTGTGAGTGGGGGAGGAGCAGAGAGAGGGGGAGACACAGAATCTGAAGCAGGATCCGAGGCTCTAGGCTGTCAGCACAGAGCCCGGTGAGGGACTCCAGCTCACCAACTGCGAGATCATGACCTTAGCCGAAGTTTGATGCTCAACCAACTGAGCCACCCAGGCGCCCTGCCATGCAAGTCTCCCAACTAAGTCATTTCATTTAAGAAATATGACATAGTTCATATATATTATAATTATATCCATACTGCTATGAGTATGCCATGCTATATTCTGTGTTCACTCTTTCTGATTATCACACATCTAATCATCACAACAAAAATGAAATGTAAACATTCTTGTACCATTTTTGGATAAGCAAAATGTGTCTGAGGGAGGCGAAGCATCTTGTCCAAGTCAGATGGGCTAGTAATTGGCATTCTAGGCTTTCTAAAAAACCAATAGAGGCTACACTCCACTGCTCCCCAAATCTGAGCCCCACTGCTTCTGCTTAGGTACCCAGTGTCACACACTGAAGAAGGAAGAACAGTCCAGTTGGCCAGGAGGGCTAATTGAGCTTAAAAAATTTTCAGTTCATCTTATCAAGCCACTGCCTGTAAGCACCTGCTCTTTACAGAAGCGTGACAATCCTATGTTCTTCAGGTATTGATGGGGAAAGAAAAGTCAAGGAATACTGTGTAGTGATGACTACTTATTCCTCAGATATAACCTCTACTGTCCATTGGTGTGTTTTGCTCATTCCCTTTTCAGGTAAAGCACGCGGCACAGGGGAAGTACTAAGGAAATGTAGTAATATGAGTTTTGTTGTTGAGTGTCTAAAAATATGTCAGGCACTCAAAAGTGCCTTTTACGTAATTTATCTTATCTAACGGAAACCTAGTGAGATAGATACTATCATCCCATTTTACTGAACTCAAGGCTCAAAGATATTGATACACTTACTTCCTCATATTCCAGCTACCATATATTAAGGGGAGTGGGATTTTACCAGTGCCCTTTCCACTCTACTAGGTTATTACAGCATCTGCAGTAAGGCTGAGAATAAGAAAGGCGATGATGTGGGGCATCTGGGTGGCTCATTCGGTTAAGCGTCCAACTTCGGCTCAGGTCATGATTTCACAGTTCATGAGTTCGAGCCCCGCGTCATGCTCTGTGCTGACAGCTTGGAGCCTGGAGCCTCCTTCAGATTCTGTCTCCCTCTCTCTCTCTCTTCCCCTTTCCCGCTCACACTCGGAGGCCAACCACGAGAGACTCTTGAATGCTGAGAACAAACTGAGGACTGATGGGGGTGGGGGGGAGGGGAAGGGAGGTGATGGGCATGGAGGAGGGCATTTGTGGGGATGAGCGCTGGGTGTTATATGGAAACCAACTTGACAATAAACTATTTTAAAAAAACAAAACAAAAATAAATAAACAAAAAAATAAAGAAAGGCAATGATGCTCTTAGAGACATTTATGGGCACATCAACTGCTGCAAATTATCCAGGGACAAACACTCATAGTGGGCAATCTTAAATAAGTGACTTAATCTTCGTATCCTCAGTTTCCTTTTTCTCAAAAATGGGCGATATAGTTGCATGTACTCTAGAGTTGTATAGATTGCATTAGTTAATATGGCTAAGCCACTTAGAATAGTGCCTGCACTTACATATTACTGTAGATATTCTCATTAATCTTTCTGTGTTTTCAAACTTATTAAGATGTCACTGCATCTGTATCAGCTTTCCCTTTACCAGCCCAGTGCTTGCCCAGCAGGCTTTTTCCTGCTCTGCACTCCCACACTATGCAGTTTGCTCTGTCCCCTGAGAGCCACTCCCAGGGCCCTAACGTTAGGCAGCCATTTTCTCTAGTGCTTCTTTGAGGACAGAAAAATTCTTTTGATTAAGGTGTCGAAAGCACGCTGGAATGCACTTGAATGAGTGCTCATTACAACATGTATGCCCCCTCAGACGGCACTTGGCATTCCTATTAGATTTGCACAGTGTCCAAATCTCTTATTTTTGGAGGACATGGTCTTGAGCCTTCCCTTCTGAAGACAATAACAGTAGTTTCATGTGTAAGGATTGTCCAAATTGGACTATCTACCGTTATTTATATCTAAAGGAAAACGATCTCTAGAAACTGGAAATTCCCTAGATGGAGTCGTATTTGATTTTCTAACTCTAGCTCAACTGCTTATTTCTGACCTTTCATTAGAGCCCAAGTTAAAATTTGATAATTATGAAGGTTCTGTCTGTCGAATTGTACCTCTCTTAAGACTCTGTACCTGTAATGACCTTTGCCTTTGTGTCATTTGCCCATTTCATGACTACATCTGCCATTAGGGTGATAATGGTCCATATTGAGGATAATAGACCTAGTATGTTCCTTTTTCAAGTTTTTTTTTTTTCATTTTAAAAACTTACACTGATATATATATATATATATCCATTTTTTAAAGTTTTTTGACTTATTTTGAAAGAGGCAGAGACAGGCATGGGAGGAGTAGAGAGAGGGAAAGAGAGAATCCCAAGCAGGCTCCACACTGTCAGCACAGAGCTCAACATGGGGCTTGAACTCACGAAACCACGAGATCATGACCTGAGCAGAAGCCAAGAGTCAGATGCTTAACCGACTGAGTCACCCAGGCACCCCATATTCATCTTTTCAACATTATTTCTAGTTCTCACCAAAATGATATAACATAGAGCAAAATTTAAAGAAATGAAACCCATTAATACAATGTGGTCCTTTATTATTAGACTTTGTTATTTGTTCTTACAGCCAAAATGCATTCTGATGTTTTTTCCTTACAGCATATATATTCTATATAGAAGCATATAAAATATATTTATATACTTAGAAGAAAGTCAGTATTTGTTTTGTTTTGTTTTTCAGAGCTTCTGAATTGCTATGATGCCTCTGCAAATTTAAACCTTTCAAACAAGGGCATGTGAAAGCTTGTTGTTTTTGTTATTCCATAATTCTGTGAATTAAACAGCTTCAAATTAGTTACTTGCCCTGATTTCTCCAGCGAGGGCCTTTTCTGATCTTGTGTCTAGGCCTCTTTGAATTCTAGTAAAGCTTCGCTGTGATTCCCCTGCCAGGTAGAGCAGAAAATCTTCTCCAATACTACTCTCATTGTCCACATGGACAACAGATCCAAATAATACAGTACAGTGCCCTGCTTCCTCCCCCAAGCAGATGCACTATGTTACTCACCCTAATTCTCTTCAATCTTGTCTTCCTTTGTAACAAATGATTCTTTAGTGGTACTATTTTGCTTTAGTAAAAAGGTTATAAAGAATCGGGGCTCTGGGAGATCTCCTTTCAACAGCAAACACTTAAAAGGGATTGTTTTCAATATTTCCCTTTGAAAACATTTATACCTTTGAATACAACTAATGGGAAAAAAATCAGTAAAGGCCATATATTGGAAGCCCTCAGAAAAAAGGAGCTCATTGCTATGCATTAATGTGAATTGTATGATCAGTCAATATTACAAGAATTTGCAGATTATGAGGCATCACAGTAAATGCTTGGTGTCACATTTTCCATAGATTCTGGCTAGCAGTGGAAGACCTGAAGAAAAGGCCTATTAGAGAAGTCCCTTCTCGAGTTCAAGAAATATGGCAAGAATTTCTGGCTCCTGGAGCCCCGAGCGCCATTAACTTGGATTCTAAGAGCTATGATAAAACCACACAGAATGTGAAGGAGCCTGGACGATACACATTTGAAGATGCTCAGGTTGGTGTACGGGTGGGCCTGACAGTATGTCACAAATGTGCGTCTGGGAAATTGACGCTTGAGATATTTCTGCTTTATTTTCACTGTAATTGGCAGCTAGACTTAATATTTTCAATGTAGGTAACTGTATGTAAAACAATTCCAATTGATTTAGAAAAAAAGAGGGACACATTAAAATGGACAGTCTTTAAAGCCTGGGAATGGTTTGTAAATTTGAATGCTTTTCTGTGAAAATTTCTTAAAGGGGAATATTTGAAATATTTGAACACTCTTACTTCATTTTCTACCCTGTCACCCAATATGTGAGAAAACACTTACCGAATGATGGCCCCAGCTCAGTAACACATAGTTGAAATCTCTGAGGTATCTTCCAAGGTGGAGATTCTAAGATGCTGACATTCCTAAATTATTCAGCATTGTGAATACTCATAAGTAAGCTAAAGTAATTTAAAACTATGTCACACTCAAGCCAATTTTGTCTCTGATGATACAGTAAAATAATAGAATTAGGCATATGTGAATTTTCCAAGTTAACTTTTTAATCTGTGGAAAGGAAAAATAAAGGAAATTTATATTAAGATATTAATTTCCTAAGACAAATATTTAGACTTTTTCCCTCAAACTGGACATAATTGCCTCCTTAGACACAGTCTGAATTTCTCCTTTCATAAAAAAAAAAAAATTGTACTCAAGAAGAAAAATAAGCTTTTGGGTATTCCTTTCTTAATAAGATGTGCTGTAATTGGCTTTTTAATTGGAACATGCATACTTCTTAATTTCTTAAACCTCTTCTAGAGAAGAATATTAGTTCTAGAAAGTATCTTGTTCTTCAAATAACGATATTGCTAAAATAAAATCTAGAAGATGGAGAGTAAGATACATACACGCCCTTCCTTATTTTCACTCTCAGTGGAAAGTATATTTCTCTTTGGTCTAAAGAAACAAGCCATTGTATAGAAAACTAACACCGGCTGAGATAGCTAACCAGACGCCCATTCTTTGCCACGGGCTTCTATGTAGAGATAATTATAGACACATGCAAGAGAGCACAATGAAAATTATAGTCTTCTTGCTTACTTCTCTGTGATCTTGCTTACTTCTCTGTGAATTTATCTTTCTTTCAGTGGAAGATAAAATTTCAAGTATTTTTCTAGAGCCAACGATGTGTAAAACATTTGAAATGATCTCCCCAAAGTCGTAAAAAGAACATTTCTTTGTTATGTGACATTAAAAATATTTTTGCTTAATAGGTCTTCAATAAAATGAAAAGGCATAATTTTCTATAGAAAACAATACCACCTGACCCTTGGCATCTTTTTCAGTTAAGCTCAGATATTTAACTCCAAATGTTGATGAGTTTTTTTTAAATCCCATCTTCAAAAATACAGTAATAGAAATTCCTGCCATTATTGAGAAAGGACACAGTGTAATGGTTAAGAAAGCAGGTTCTGGAGCCAGATTGCCTGGGTTCTAGTCAGAGCTCTGTGACCTTCATATCTAAAATGGGTGTAATAATGGTTCCCATCCTTACTGAGGTTTTGTGAGGATTAAATTAACTACTATAGGCAGTCACTAGAAGTGTGCCTGCATATATGCAAGTTTATCTGAGCACTTACTATACATATACCCCTAGTTTGCTAAATATATATCATTCCTTTAAACCTCACAGCCACCCTATTGTACAGAGTAGAAACTAAGACTCAGAGATAAATTGACCCATATTTACATGTTTGTAAGTGGCAGGTCTTGAGCAAGATAAGATCTGAAACCTTCAATGTTTGACTCCAAAACAAGACAGCTCTCCAGTTTTCCAGTGACAAATTCTGATAGGGCCTCGAATGTACCATACTCTTGGAGGTGAACTTTGGGCTAGAAACTGAGTGAAAAATCACTCCAAATTCTTTCTGGTGTGTTTGAGACCAGAGAAGTGGAGTCATTTCCTGAAATATGTTTTTTCTGCAAAAAAAGAAAGATCAGGACATCCAGCATACACTCTTTTTTCACCTAACATGTGATTTTTCACTAGACTAGAAGGAGGAAGGAGCATTTGTGCTGCAATTCGTCAGAGCAGACTCTTCCTAGATAACGCCAACAACTGAATTGGATCAATACATTTTTGACCTTGACTTCTTTGTCTATCAATATTCATGATCACAATAGGACATTTTGTGCAGACTAATTATAGGATTCACTTCTTAAATATTTACCTAATCTGCCACTGCAGGGGTTGTTTTTTTTTTTTTTTAAGCATACAAATTGGGAGATTTAGCAATTAAATATCACACAATATTTTTTGGATTTGCGCTCTGGCTCAAAGTAGATGTAGGTGACATTTTTAAATATAATTTGCACCAAAGAGATGACTCATCTGGCCAGTCTGCATCTTCCAAGTATATTGTAGATGCCAAGGTATCTAGGATGATTACTCAGACTTGACTTCACATCATTTGCTTTTGGCCTGGAGTAATTTTAAGAGATAGTAGATTGAGTTATATTCTCAAATAACCTATATAAATCAACAGCTTGATCTGAAATAACTTCATGACATTCCATTAACTGAATTCCATATTTTTCAAGCACTGGTTGTGATTTGCCTCCTCTGTAGCTGTCAGTCCAGTTTGTTTATTTGTTTTTTAAAATAATTTATTGTCAAATTGGTTTCCATACAACGCCCAGTGCTCATCCCAGCAAGTGCCCTCCTCAGTACCCATCACCTACTTTCCCCTTCCCCCCACCCCCCATGAACCCTCAGTTTGTTCTCAGTATCTAAGAGTCTCTTATGGTTTTCCCCCCTCACTCTCTGTAACTTTTAAATATGGATCCATGAATAAAATGGTAAGTTTGAAGATTCACATGTTCTGTAAACACAAAGCATTCTCATCAACATTATCATTATTAACTTTAGCTGCTTCCAGATTTGTTTTCAACCATCCCCCGTATTCTTAACACAGTATTTGGTTTTCCCTGAGAAATGATAAAGAAGCACTTCAACAATTATTTCTTTTTAGGAGCACATTTACAAATTGATGAAAAGTGATTCATACCCACGTTTTATAAGATCCAGTGCCTATCAAGAGCTTCTACAGGCAAAGAAAAAGGTACTGGTTCTTTGTGACCTTTTTCAATCTGGTTCTCAGTTATAATTATATGGAGTAGTTCCCTCTGCTGAGGCCAGGGTGTTGGACAAATGGTAAGTGAACACCTTCCCCTAACCTTTGCATTTTATAAGGGCCATTGAAGATGTTTTAGTTTTTGTTTGTTGATTGCTTATTTTCTTTTTTGTTTTGTTTATTTCTGCAGATGTTCATGCTTTACAACGCTTTTTAGAAGCTGTTTTCATGTTTCATGTTAGTCTTTTGTATGTCTAGTTTATATAAAATATAAATAATAAAATATAAAAAATTAAAATTGATGAATATGAAGGAATAACATCAATAGGTCAAAAACTTGAAGAGGATTTTCTTTGTCCAGGAAGCTTGGGTGTATGTTTTTGGCCACATACCCCATAGCTAAATATAGACGTATTTTTTTCAATGATACTTGCCAAAATGTAGTTATGCTTGCTTCAGAATATTTTAATTTGGCATTCATCCTGGACTACTTAGTATCTTGATGATGAATTTTACACACCTAACAAGTTAGCCAAACACATTTTGGAAGAGCTGCAATAGACCTCATTATTCAATTAATGTTTAGAATCAATATAATCAGTAAGGCAGGGTATGGAAAATCTGAATATAAAAATTCAAAATCATTCATTATTTCTCAATGTCAAAATAATCCAGAGTGTCCTGAAATTTTTGAGATGAAATTCTAATTTTGTGTAATTCATGACTGTAATTTAGGCTAATAGGATTTTTAGAGAAGTCCACTGGCCTTTGCCACTGGCCGTAGATACTCTGAACTTGCTTTGTTCAGTACAGAAGCCACTAGCCACGTGGGGTTGTTTAAATTTAAATTTAAATTAATTAAGAGTACATAAAATTCTAGCCAGATGTCACATACTCAGTGGCCTCAGCTAAAAGCTTCCAAAATATTGGACACCATAGAATGAAATTTGCATCCAAATTCTATTGGACAGCAATGCTCTACAGTATTGATGTAATAAACAGAAATCTAGTCCTAAAAGAAAAGTATGAAGAAGTTCTTAAGATAGTCCACTAGATATTCATATATAGGCTTTGCAGATGTCAGCTTAAAACCTTCGTGTAGCTACTTCATTTTAGTGTCATTTGATTTTGCTTGAAATCATACCACTTTGTTTGCACAGGAAGAGTTTTGGCGTTAAAAATAAAAGTCCTAATAAAAACAGAGCCTATGTCCTGTGTGTAGCATCCTTCCTTGGCAGCCCTCCTACGTTCCTGGTCCCTGTGACTTAGAACATGGATTTGGTGTTGCCTCATTTCATCATCCTGTCTCTTTATGCTCTCTTTTCCTTGCTTTCTTTTTCTTTATGTTCCCTATTTCCCTTTGCTACACCCACCCCACTCATGTAAGTCGGAACACTCAATGGATCGCAGAACATCTTTTGAGAAATTTGCACAGAATGTGGTAAGTTTTCTTCTTTTGAGGAATTGCAAATCATTAAGTCTAATTGGGAAATTGTCCCAATTTTTAGCCCCATTGCTCACCCTGCATCCGTTGATGTAACAAAAGTATTGTCTTTATCCGGACTCAGAACTTCTGCTTCTTGCTTATCTTTCTGCCCCAGCTCTTTCTAGAGTAAAGACGTCATCCATGAAAATCCATTCGTATCAAACTAAGGTTTGGAAAGAAGTATATATGATGACATATAAAATGAAGATTTCTGACGTATTTTTCTTTTACTTTCTTCCTTATTGGATCCCTTTCTTTCTTAAAGATAGTGCATGCATTTCTACATGCTCTTTCTCTTAGCCCTTCGTAGGGCTTTTTGTAAAGTTAAAGAACAACGAGGGTTCCATGCTTTCTACTTGATGGAGAGAAAATGACCTAAGGAGCAGTTTAAAGCCAAAGACTTGGTATGAATGGTGGTTGGTGACAAGATATACCCACCAAAGACCCACCAGCATGTCTCTCTTATGCTTTATTTTTGAGAAAGGTTTTGAAAACTATTGCATAAATCATCCAAGAAACCAGTAGTTTTCCTACCATTGTTTTCTTAGTATCCTGCCATGTGTTTTGGTGATATTTTGGTGATATATTTGTATGTGGGATTCTTTTTTTTTTTTTTTTTTGTATTGTGCCAGTGCCTTTGGAACTTTCTGACGTGTGTAAGCTCAAACTAAAGCCTTCAACACATTTATTTTTATAGGGCAGAAACATCCCTATTTTCCCATGCCATAAAAACTGTACACCAACACTGAGGGCCAGCACTAACCTGTTATGAAAAGAGGTAGAAAAATCTTGGTTTATACTCAAGTTTGTCTGCATTGTCTGTTGAAGTTGTGTGGTTAGCTCCATGCTGCCGTGTGTGTGTGTATGTTGTGGCTTTTGCTGTGATGGCCAGTTAAGTGGAGTTATGTGTGTTGAAATGTAAGCAAATTGGATTCAACAAATATGCTGTTTTTGTTTTTAGTTTCCTTCAAAGATCTTTGTGGTGGGGAATGTTAATCAGTTCTATTTATGAATTGCCGGTTGTGACTCGGCACAGAGTATTTGAAAGACTTTGAAAAGCAGTATAGACTTTGAACATTCAATGTGATTGCACAAATTAAAGGGCTGGAAAATGAAGGACTCTAGGAATTAATCACTCTATAAACTTCAAAAATTTTTGGCTGATTCTGTTGGAATCTCTGACCTTTAAAATAAAATTTTCCTAAACATGCCTCATAAGTCACCATGGGAAGATAAAAACAATATTTACAAAAAAAAAAGCCTCAAGATTTTGCTGGAGGATGTAGCCATAGGCTGTTGCACAGTGCCCTGTGCAATATTTAAGAATTCTTCCAAATTCATCCTTTCCTAACATCATGCTGACAGATTATTGTTCTAAAGATTGGAATGGAAATTTGTTTGATATGACTAAACATAATAACACAACATAAGGAAGATGGAAAAGGGAAGCAAAATGGTTGCCTTTCCTCCAACACCATCCCCAATTCTGACCTACTTCTCCAACTTTTAAAATAGGAGCACATTGTCACACACTGCGAACTTAAGAAAAGATCGATAGGAAGTAAGGGGAAGGCAGGCTTAATATTCTACGCCTCCAATCAAAATTCATACATAAAATGACAGTTATATTCCAGACATTGTGCTATGTCTCAGGAGCACGTATAAGGTAGAGACCTTAATTGCTAAGGAATCTAATGCTATAAACAAGATATGTGGTGCACAGGAGAGAGATGAACTTTTTCTGCTTGGTGTTGGGGTAGGGAGGGAGCATCCACTGATAACATGAAAATTCCCAGTGCAAGTTACATTTAATTGGATTTCACTAGGACAAGAAGGGCATCCATACTCTTAAGGAGAAAGGGAGAAAAGGCTGGACTTACTGAAGCAAAAGAGGTGGAGTAACATTCACACATATATATACACACAACACACTTGTAAGTTACAGATGATCTTCAGACGCAATTGTCTGGGGTTATTTTTTCCATCCAGGAACAGAAAAAGTAATATTTTTCATTGGATGTTTTGTTTTAGTAGTACTCTAAAGAAATGGAAGAAGGAAATTAAAAAGGCTCTCTGATTTCCTCAATTGATTACAAACAATTGTTTTTATTTTATTACCCATGAGAAGTGGGTTTCTATCCTGACAATTATTGATATACAAAAATGAAAACTAATATACTATACAGCATTAAATCCTAGGATCGTTAGTTTTTATTTAAAGTCCCTTTAACTCTTTCTATCCTCGTTTCTTTTTTATTTTCCCTTGGTTCTGTGTTGCTCCGTGTTTGTGATTCCTTTGAGGGTCAGCAGGTGTGTTAGGAATCCGAAGTACCTACATAATAAATTTAATAGGATATCTTTACAGGATCAGTAAAATAATTCTAACACAGGATGAAAGTGATTTTACTATGATCAGGTAAACATAATGAAATATGGAAATAGGGAGTTTAAAGAAACATTTTAAAGGAGTCCTATGTGCAGATTAGTCTGGCAAATACAGGGAGGCTACAACATAGATAATATTCAAGAAAAAAACAGAAGAGGGAAAATACAGGTAAACAAGTATGTAAAGTAAGATAGTAATGACTCCTAATCATTGAGTGCCTGCCACATACCAGGCTCTGCACTAGGCACTTTATATTACCTAACTTAACATAATCTGACCCTGCAGGTTAGGTATTATTATACTCATTATTTTACCCATTTAATAAGGGAGAAAACTGAAGAGTCAGAGGAGGTACAAAATTTTCCCAGAATCACCCAGTTATTAGGAGCTCTAGCAGTGACCCCAAATTTATTTTGTTCCCAAATGCTTTCTTTCTCCATTGAACACCTTGCTCCTTCATATTCTTCCAACTGATAGGAGATAAATAAATCCTGCCACCTGCCACTCGTCTGAGTCCATTTCCAATTAGTATCTGTTTGTAGAAGTTTATTTACGTATTCTAGGACAGTTACTCATAACCTGGCTTATACAAATGGCATTGTTGTTTTGTTTCACACAAGAATCAAAAATGTTATGCTCAGCAATTCTTCCCAATACCATTCAAACTTCCATTGGTTAATGAGACTAGTAAACTCTTGCCAGCACCTTAGAGAATAATTCTAATAAACAGGTAACAGTTGCGCAGCATTTTGCAGTGTTCCAAAGACACGCATTATTTTTTGCTTGTTTTGTTGTCACTGTTGTTTACATACATGACAGTCTTAAGAGGTGGTCAGGCAGGAGTCACCGCCCTTTCCCAGATGGCCAAGTAAGGAATAGGGAGGTGAGATCACTTCAGCATGCCGGTATCACTCAGTTGGTGAGAAATTAAAGCCAAGACTGAAAGCAAAGTTTTTGGACTTTAAATTCACTCCTCCACAGATTACTCATTGTCTTTCATTTTGTCCAACGTGGGAGGGATAAGAATAACTCACATTTGTGTAATACCTTCACCGTGCCCTTGTTGACTCAAGGCATCTCATTTCCTGTGATTTACTTTTTTATTACATTGCCATC